TGAACGTCGGCCGTCGGTGGGGTGATGTGCAAGAACCTTTGGTGGCAAGTGGTTGCCTCTCGTTGACTTATACGATCGCACTGTTACAGATATGGTGTGGGTGCGTAGAGATGGATTCCCTGCATTCACGGATGCGCTGGCCAGAGTCTTCGCGGGGGGCGGACATGAGGGGGCGACCCCGGAACCCCCGGAATCGAGCGATCCTAAACTGCTGATCGACTCGGGCAGTATGGAGGTTGAGGTGGAACCTGGCTCTATGAGCTACGATGAAGATGAAGACGCAAGCGACGTCGACTCCCTGAATACGGATGAGCTCTCTGATAACCTTCCGAATGAAGATGAGATGGTCGATGTCGCTGCAGCGGTCATGGATAGCCGGAAGTCCGTCTATCTTAGTATCGGCGCGACCAAGTTTCTCGAGGAGGTTGAAGAAGCCCAGGCGAGAGACGACGAGAGCAGATATTTAGGGGTACGGCTATCCCGGGTGCGGCAGTATCTATCCGACGGTCACCTCGACAACGACGACAAAGTCACGGCAGAGCGCATCAAGAGAATCGCGGAGCGTTTTGTGCTACATGAGGGCATCATATTTTATCGGGGTAGGCCTGGTTTGAAGCTCTTTGTTCCGAGAGCTAAGACGAGAGAGTTGGCTTCGACGAAGTCAGAGTCACCGTGGATGAGATCGTGGATACTGTGTAAATACCACGACCTCACCGCGATGTGCCACAGGGGTGGAGCACGACTTGCAGAGGCGGTGTTGAGATTCCACTGGTGGCCTACCGTTCTATCCGATTGTGCTAGGTATGCCCGTACGTGTACGAGATGCCAGATCGACAAGGTGACATTGCGTCATAAAGTTGGCGAGCTGGGATCGACAGTATCGAGAAGCTCGAGGCCGAATGAACTGCTGATTGTGGATTATGCTGGGCCTATCACCTGTACTGGGCAGGGAGTTGAAGATCCAAAGTACATACTACTCGTCATTGATGCTTTCACCCGATGGTTGCACCTGGAGGCAGTCCATAGTGATGATGCAACCACTACTGCACAAGTCCTTTGGCGTACCCATATATGTGTCCATGGCCCACCCGCAGTTCTCCACTCTGATAGGGGAGCACACTTCACGGCCGATATCATCAAGGAGCTATGTCGGTTTGCCTCGATGACTCATACAGTTGGATCTGTGAGAAACCCTCGAGTCCAAGGGATAGTCGAGAGATCGGTTAGAGAAGTGAAGACAGCTCTAAGAGTGACGAGCGAACGACTTCGGCAGGAGGGCAGAGGCTGGTGGGAACAACTCCCGGCAATAGCTATGGTCCACAACACTGCAACTCCGACTTACGCAGGCTCGGTTGGTGACCTCTCCCCCTACCATCTCACGTATGGCAGATCGACGCCTGACTTGTTTGCTGGTGAGAACCCACCTGAAGGAGGGTGCGATAACATTGGCGCCTATGCTGACAAACTTCGCCGCAGTCTTGAGGCGGCGCATGCGATTTGGGATACGGTGAGGCAGCTCGAGATCTCCAAGAGGCAGGATGAGTTTCGTCTCAATAGTACTAACGATGATCTGCAAGTAGGTGACTACGTGCTGAGAGTCCTTTCGAAAGATATTCCTGGCGGACAGAAGCCTGAAGTGCGAGGGCCATATGTCGTGGCTGGGAGAGCCGGTACCAATCACTACACTGTCGACGGCATGGACGAGCCCATCCCTGCTCACCAATTGAAACTCATTTCACTGGATGAAGGGTTGCGCCTAGGTCTCGCAGGAGAAATCTCGGATCCGCGTTATCGCCGCCTCGGTGTGGTTAATCATTGGAAAAAGTTGTTGAAGACCCCGATGGAGCAGTTGTTACACAAAGATTTGGTGTTATATGAGGTGCCGGATGATCAGAACGATCACAACTACTTCTATGATGTGGCTGAAGTCCTTGACAATATGCCGACTACTCGTGAGCTGAAGGTTCGGTTATGGATGGTAGATGCTCTAGGGCGAATCGCCCTGGGCGATGGGGCGAAGGTCCCTCGGACCGGATCCTGGTTATTGGGTATGATAGAGTCGTCGCGAATAAACTGGTGTTGACTCAACAAAAGCGGGTGCCCAAAGCGTTGTTGAAAATGTTAAGGATTCGCGACGAGGGGGCGAAGATGTAGAAGATCGGAAGGTATAGATGAGAGAGGATGATGAATCATCATCATCATTGATGATGGATCGAAGAGTTTTTGATATTAAGTTTATATAAACTACCAGTTCGAGTATTAGAGTATAGAGGCTTTTTGAGATGCCGCGCAGTAGGTGTGGCGCTCGCCTCATTAGCTATGTGGATTGATCGAAAGTAGTGGAGACGCAGTTGTCTCTATATGGTTTTTATCCACTATCATACGAATACCGTATCAGTAAGATATGCCATTGTTGGATTCTGAAGAAAGCAAGAATACTAGGCGATCTGTGTTATCAAAACATTCTCTAATTCATTGTTTCTCATAGTTACTACTACAACCATATATTAGGTTGATTATTCTTCTATTATTTATTCACGTCCAGTGAACCATGTCTCATAGATGTTGAAGTGCTCAACTCACTACTGTTCATGTTTATCTCTACTTCATCGTTCAGATATGTCTGTTTTATACTCGTACGATTTCATATCAAGTTACTCTACTCCAATCTTCGTGGCCTCGCTGAGAACCACAGGGCCACAATTCCTGCGGTTATGATAAGCCAGATTATAACCGGTTCTATCGATGGGAAGTTCATCTTGAGTTTTGTCATGTTAAGGTCGCATAAATGGAATCACGAGGCTAATGGGGAAAGCTTATACACGCCGCCTTAGAAGTATTTGATAGACTTGCCGCAGGCTGGGCCGCGGAATATTCTGTTGCTCCCCACACAGATCAATTTTATGGCCGGGGCAGCTATGCCACCGCAATATATGCCATCTGATGGGGCAGCTATGCCACCCCAATATATGCCGTCTGATGGGGCAGCTATGCCGCCCCAATATATGCTGCCTGATGGGGCAGCTATGCCATACGTCGGCGCCGAGAATTAAACTCTAATTATTGAAGTGCCCATAAGGAAAATATCGATTATAGTTTCAACTCGAAACTATAATCGGTTTTTTCTTAAACTTGAAACTTCCAAGTGAACAAAAAACGGCTGCAAAAGAAATCAGGCTGATTCCGGTCGCAGCTGATTTTATCAGCTTCACACTCGGTTCCGATAGGACATAGTCTATGGTCCTGAACTCCCAGGAAGGTCAACAGAGGGACCCCCTGTGTCATTGCATCGAATCATCTTTCTATTGTAGAACAGTGATACTATCACTTCTTAGAGGTGAGTCGTAGTTTCCAGTGAAAACTCTCAACTTCAAAAGGTCACAATCTCTGACGAAATTATGGATCTTCCGTTCGCGCTGTTTGTACTTGGCTACATCTCGGGGAGGTTCAGCAGACTTAGTCTCTCGTGTAACTCCGGCATTTTCAAAGGGGGAATCTATGTGAGCAAATAAGTTTCTCTGATTGTGATAGAGTCAGGCTCGGCGAAGCGAATGTTGGTGAACTCGAGGAAACTCGTTGAAAGACGTGACCTTGCAACCTCTCTTACTGTTTCCAGAAGAATTCCCATATCCCAGAAAGATTGTCGTTCTGAATCCAGTGGGCGACCAGTGGTAGCCTCACACAGGAGCTGAGCGGAACCGACAAGATGACCTATCGGCTCCTCACTCAAGACCATCAAGTCAAGCTTGGACGAGCACGATAACTCGGAGTTGCGGTGCTCGACATAGGAATTACTAACTCCGGAGTAATTAACAAGGAATTTGCGTCCCGCAGTGTCGAGTTGATACCTCAGGTGTTGTCTATTCACAAATTATGAAGATTCACAGATCACGAAGTAATTTCGGACAGATCGCACTAAGCGAATAGTGATCCGGGTTGCGAGAATTGGAGACCAATGCGCAGTTGTGAACGCCCAACGTGCATACTGGCCTCCGACGCGTTGCCTTTATACTTCCAGACAAAAAACAGTCAATGCTTCTGCACAGTGCTCTGCACTCTAGCGAACGATTCAGAGGACTCGTTTTGTATTCATAGCGCTAGCATAGAATCCTTCCTTGCTAGGCTACTCAATGCTTCACACTCGCATGTTAGAGCGCGCCAATGTATATGCGTACATATTGTATTGATCGATCATTACGCGTTAGCTATTGTCTCATGGTTCCCCTTTTCCCATATACCGGTTCATAGCGATCTATCCTATTCGAGCTGGCATTCTATCGTTAGTTCTCTACGACTACCTCAACTATCACCGTCAGCTAGGTTCGACAATCCGGAGAAGGCCTCGCTGTTTATGCAGCCGAAATTGATCAATACTTCGAGACTCCCAACCACATTGATCACTCAACAATAGAGTCTATTGTTAAAATCATTTCACACTACATTGAAGCACTCAGTTGAGAGACTAACGGGTGACTAATTTACCCAATATACTGCTCTGGAACACAACTACTGTTTCGGTGGAAAATTTCCTAGAAGCAATATCCTACATAAAATACGGTCGGGACCCCGTCTACGGGGTCCACGACCGCCGAGCTTGAGATAAGCCAGAGCTCTAATCATCTGCCGCTTCGTATTATCTGCAACGCATTAACACCTAACAGTTAAATAACGAATAGTATATGGTATGATCGTATGATGGTGCCGTGATAGCAATACAGAATAACAGCGATCAACGAGCAGCAACATCCAAGATCTACAGATCATCATCAGTAGATGCACTCACTGAAGTATTGATATCTGATGATCTTTGATCATGGGCTATGTCCCGCTAAGGTGCATCTTCGTATAAGCAGAACATAATTCCTTATTTAATCGAAATTATAGACGACGAACAATGAATACCGATTAATAGCAACTTCCCAGACCTACAGATCATCATCAGTGGATGCACTCACTGAAGCATTGATATCTGATGATCTTAGATCATGGGCTATGTCCCGCTAAGGTGCACCTTCGTATGAGCAGAACATAGTTTTCTACTTGATCAAAGATATAGACGACGAACGATACATACCGATTAATAGCAACATCCGAGATCTACAGATCATCATCAGTGGATGCACTCACTGAAGTATTGATATCTGATGATCTTAGATCGTGGCTTATGCCCCGCTAAGGTGCACCTTCGTATAAGCAGAACATAATTTTCTACTTGATCAAAAATATAGACGACCAATGATACATACCGATTGATGGCAACATCCCAGATCTACAGATCATCACCAGTGGATGCACTCACTGAAGTATTGATATGAGATGATCTTTGATCATGGGTTATGGACACGACATGTAACGCGACCATATGCCATGTTATGGCATTTGGAGCATCGAATCCAGTAATAAGCCCCACACATAACCATGGAATCAACATTGGATCTTGAGTAGATATCGCTCCCTGACATCGGTTGTGCTCCAAAAGCCTGCGTCTTATAGATATAGTGCTCCCAATGTGAAACACAGACGGTCGCATCATACTCAGTAATATATATACACATCCTCCTATTGACGACGTTTCAGGAAGATCACTTGCATGATATCTGAACGGTCCGGTATCGCGACGTACAATAGAACCTGCATTTTGTGTTGAGTCCATATCAAGACTACGTAAAATTAGATCAATGTACTCATCAAACTGTTGAACTTTATTCAATAAAAACCGGATAACAGTCAATGCCTGAGAAACGTCACCTATAAGGATAATGTCGTCTAGTCGTTTAACGCGAGAAAATAAAGTATATAACTGAGATCTTAACCATAATTCATGCTTTTTGTCTACTGTGCTCAGTTGTGCGCACACTGATGGTAGAGTGCTACCCATACAACGGTGCACAGTAGAGGCACAAAATGGCCTCAGCGAATATTGCAATCGTTGGCCTAGCAACCCTGGCCTAACAAACGTATCACGGCCAGAAGTAGGGAAAAGTATTTTAATCTCTTGCCATCCAGCAGCTACATAATCCCCATCACTGGGCAATTGCCGATATCCAGCCGGAGCTAAGAAAACATGCACAGGACCATGGAACACAGCTGGAATAACGGATACAACACACAATTGACCTTGCGAATATCTGCGATTAGTAGTATCATTCTGTGTTATACGCATCACTACGCCACGAACTAATCGAAGTTGAGCCGGTTCCAAGCACTTCTTATCAAGAACCAAAGCCACTTCTTTCCTAGCAATCTTCCATTGAATAGAATTACTACTACTTTCAAGATCAATTGATTCAGAAACATACTGCTCTTCCGGAGAAAAATGTGTTCGAATATAATCATCTCGTTCTTTTATTACTTCCTGCTCAGCAATTCGTTTCCCAACAACCCTTAAAACGTCATGCGGAACAGATGCAAAAGAGGTAGCGAAACGGCATCTACGTGTAATAATTTCACAATATTCATCGATCAATTCTGGATGCAAATGCAAACTTGGGATACGACCTATTTCGTTGATACGTTGCAGGTCATGGTCTGTGGCAGATCTAACGTATATAGTTAATTGCACTAGACGAAAAGTTACAAGAATCATAGGCGATGTAAGAAGAGGATGCCCTTGGATTGGTGGCAATTGAATTGGGTCCATACTACAAAGTAGCATTATCCCTCCATACGGTAAATTACTACGACGAGCCACTCGGAGACATCGATCAATCACAGCTAACAAATCCGCACTGATAAGCCCCAATTCTTCGACGCACAAAACATTGATCTCTCGCAAAAAAGCAAGTTTCAGTGGGTTTCGTCCGAGCGCGAGAATGCATTTCTCAGCTACGTGCTGCTGGTCTTTGTCCGTCTTGCCTCCCTCACCCCCACTTGAAGTAACACTTGTCTCAGTCATAGGGAAATGATTAGGTAGTTATCGAGTAGTATGGCAAGTTGCCATAGGCAACGCTAGACTATATCACATAGAAGCTAAGCAGAGCTTAGGATATCGATCAACAGGGCCAGCGCTGGTAACACTGGCACAAGGGGACAGAGAGAGATGGATAGATGTGTCGACTATTCACGAGATATCGTGTGCACGCCCCCCAGACAGCATCTAGACATCGATGTGTGAGTGAGACCATTACATAGCTCCATGTGTCTTCAACCAAGAGAGAAGAGATGGGGGCAGTCGTCGTGTCCGTGTAGGGCGGAAGACACCGATAACATCAGCAAAATTGACATCCCATGTGAAGGAAACACGATCACGAGCTGGTGGTAGAGTCCAGGAGCCACGGGCAGATTTGTTCAACACAATGATCTTGAAACCATCAGGAAGCTTCTGGTCAATCTCACCAATACGGAGGGTTCTGGTAGGTTCAGGACCAGTTGTATCATCCTCAGCTATTATCACAAAGTTGCCGGCCTCGGCATCATGTAACTCAATCTTCACGTCGTCAGGCAAGGAGAGCGAGAAAATACCGGAGGTATAGGCTTCATGAGGATGAACAGCGTTGGTGAAATCGTCAAGGGATGAATCTTGACGAAAGGGTAGTAGTTGACCAAGACTTACCCATCCCGGCCAATCTGAAAGACGATAGAGATAGGGGTTAGAAGGATGGAAGTCCGTAACAGTGAAAGGCCCGCGTAAGACTCTGTGGCTGTTCTCCAGTCGACAGAGCCGAACCTGATCTCCAGGAGAAAAAGTGTGCAAGGGCACTTCGTGAGCCAAGTGAATCATTTCAAGCTTATGAGCTACATCATCAGCGATGGCTCTAGTAATATAGAAATTATCGACAAGTTGATTACGAAACTCTGACCAAGAATCATTAAACTGATCGATAGAGGAAGCTTCCGCATCAGACTGCGGGTCAAGTAGAGCTGCTGAAGGGAGAAAAGGATCAGCAATGCCAAAGGCCAACTCAGAGGGACTGAAACCATATAGTGCTATCTTGCTGCTGTTGTGGACCGAAATAGCCGATTGTGCGATAACCCACCATGGAAGACGACCCGGAGATAAGATGGAGTTAGTAGACATGGCTAGTTTGATCTCTTTGATGACGTTTTCCACACGACCTTGGCATTGAGGACGACGTGAAACACCAAGGGATCGTTCGATACCCAAAACCGTTAGGAACCGGGATAGCTTGTCAGAGCTATGCGCAGGAGGGCTATCAAGTTGTAGCACAGAAGGGGTCCAAAAATAGCACACCATTGAAGCACAGCTGAGATGACAGATGAAGTGGAAGTCGATTGGGCTGGACAACCCATACACATCTGAGTAGCACTATCCACGAGTATAGTCAGATAGGTACAGTTATTAGGTTCTGAGTGGTCAGGCGAGTCAGAGAGAGGTCCTAGAAAGTCAAGTTGAACCTCGGAGAAACGGCCAGCACCTCGGCGGAAAAGAGAAGGTTGAACAGGATTAAGTCCACCCG